TGAAACACGGTGGTTTCAGCGTGATGATTTGGGGAGCTGTTTGGGTTGGTGGGAGATCGAGTTTAGTGGAGCGTGTTGGCAACATAAATTTTGCGAAATACGTCGAAATATTGGAGGAAGGACTCTTGTCACTTTATTCCTCGGGTTTTTTTGGACAAGAACACAGCGTTGTTCCAGGAAGATGGAGCATCGTATCACACTGCTAGAAACACCCAAAAGTGGCAGGAAGAAAATGGTATCCAGAAGTTGCCCTGGCCGAGCCAATCTCCTGGCATGAACCCCATCGAAAACCTCTGGGCCATACTCGACCGGCAAGTCAAGAAACAACAAAACAAAACAACTTCGAAGAGCGATCTACTCCAAGTTTTGAAGCAAGAGTGGGCGAAAATATCACAATCTAAAATTGACGAGATGATTCTCACGATGCCCCATAAGATCAACGAACTCCACGAAGCGAAATGAAGATCTACTAGATATTATTTAAATTATAAATATATCAATTCATGTGAATATGACTGAAAAATTTCATTTTTTCTGAAAAGGTGGTGTCTATTTACTTATGACCACGCTGTGTACAGTCAAGCTTGCCTTCGGAGAAAAAGTTTAAGCAACACGTTTTTGTTTTTACATTGTCAATAAAGCGTATTACTTATTTCAAAGTCGAACAAATTTGTTAATCTCTTTTCGTTTGATCAAGTTTCACGCTTTGTATATATTTACGAATATTCTTCTCTTATTATGGTTATAATTAACTTACCTGTCAATCTATTTTTACCCGAAAATAGTACAATTATGTTATCTGCTACTCAGAAAGGAAATGTGTGTGTTTTTATAGCAAAACCACTTCGGGCCATCTACTGTTTCCATCGAGGGGAATCGAACCCTTGATTTTAGCGTGGTAAATCCGTAGACTTACCGCTGCCCCACCAGTGAACCAGATAGGAAGACTGAGATAGTCTAAACCCGTAACAGCTAAGGATACGTATGACACACACACACACTTAATTTTTCATTTGCAGATGAGAAATAGCCGATTCATTAGTTAATTTATAGAAATCGAAATACACCAGTTTAGTGAAAATATCAATACCTTATAAATATATACATATTCACATATACCATCAAGGGTATAGTTTGATATATAAGAACCCACAATTGCATATAAAAATATATTAGTTATTTGGTTAGATGTATTCTAGTGATGGATGATGCCCGAACTCTGAATCTGAAGGTTTATTACTCGCATCCATTTGCCGAAAAAACACGCTCTGTACATCTGGATCATGGGTGCGTTATAAAAGTGACAATCAAAGCCCACTATTGGGTCTGAGAAGGTTAGCCCAAGAGTTGACGGTGGATGCTGTTGACTAGCTGCCCTCCTCATAATCTCTGGGTTCAAAATAATGGTGCCTACACAAAGATAGTCCTTTGTGTAAATTTGTGATATATTTATAAAATAAACAAAACAAACCACTCGTCCAATTAACCCTATTCTCGTGACATACACAACAAAAATTTGTAACAATTAAATCAAGTTAAATTATATGAGTAAAAAAATACTTTATTTAGCATGAATATTATTTGTAAATGTAATTAAGTTTGCAGAATTTTTCTTTCTCTTTTACGAAGATACATCATAGTGTAAATGACGTGCTAATTTCATAGTATTGTGTCTGTAAAGGTAAGTTTTAATCTTCATTGAAATTTCATTCAGATGCTGAAGTAGTGCGTATGTTAATTTGTTTAATTCATAAATAAAAAAATCTCTGAAGATCCCATCAATTCAATTATCATTTCATAATAACTCATTTTCATTGTTCAATTAACCATAAAGAAAAAATACAGTTTTTCTGTGGAATATTAATGCTTATTTGTTGTTTTCAAATTCTCTCCAATGTAGTAAACGTTGTGTTAGGGATTGATTGTCACTCTTATAACGCACTCACAGTTTATATTGTGAGAAATATTTTATGGTATCGCATGGATTCGAATTCTGTTCGCCACCTCAAAAATCCAGAATTCTACCACATGTCCAACCCGCGTGCTTTGTATTAGCAAGTTAACACTGCACTCGTAAAATGACTGTTTGTTTGTTTGTTATGGAGTTCGAGCAAAGCTGCTCGAGGGCTATCTGTGTTAGCCGTCCCTAATTTATCAGTGTAAGACTAGAGGGAATGCAGCTAGTCATCACCACCCACTGCCAACTCTTGGGCTATTCTTTTACCAACGAATAGTGGGATTGACCGTCACATTATAACGCCCCCACGGCTGAAATGGCGAGCATGTTTGGTGATTGCGAGTCGAGCGCACTAACCACCTGGCCATGTCGGGCCCGAAAATGACGGAAGTTAACATTCTTTCAAAATGTATAAACTATTATCAAGGAATACAAAAATCAAGGTTATTTTGGAAGCGTAGCCTGCACTTGAGGATAACGTTAAACTTCTGCTGATAAGTGCCGACTTATAGTTTAAGTGTGACCGAAATCTTTCGTAAACGAGCCTGTTGTTTATAAATAAAAAAATTGTGTTTTGTTTTTTAAATATCCTAGTTGTTTCAACTTCAAGACAAAATATTTTAAGTCTTACAACAAAACAACTATAACGTAGGTTTCAGTTATATGTTTATTCCAACAAGAAATAATCCTACAAAAGCTACATAACTGCAAATCTTGTTGTTTTCTGCAACTACTTTTTGGATAAAAGTGACATATAACTAATTGTTTAAATTGTGCGAAAATGCTGTCAGTTGAAGATCTGATGTAAAAAAAACAACATTTTAATACATGGAGTACTATGCAAATTAAATAAAAAAAACCCTCTAAGAACTGAAAATTAAAAACAGTACTTTCACCACTTCAGAAAAAAGATATGATAATAAACAAAATATAATACTACAAAATATATATTTATGAGACTAATATTGAATAACATGGATAAATCATAATACAAAAACGATAACTTGACAGCTTTGAGATAAATCTTCCTTCTTCAGGGGTGGATTAGTAAGATAAACGATGAGGAGTCACTCGAGTTAGTTCATTTTTTTATGTATTATAATTTATTTTCACAATAAAAAAAGATGTATAATATTTGTGTTATTGGTTATCCCCATTCCAAAAGAAAACAAGAAACAAAAGTAGCCATTGTTGCTTCTCAAAGTCCCATTTACTATTTCGGTTTTTTGAATTCAATGGCGTCAAAAAACTGCCAAGTCTTCTGTTTAGTTGTATCCAGTTCATACTCTTGGCAACTTCTCTTAAACAATCTGGAAAATTGAAAAGTTAGTATTTTACTTCGAAGACTGCGTACCTTAAATGATATGAATTAAAATGGTGTTTTTTCTTTTTACTTGTACTAGTCAAGGCACGAAAAGTGATAAGTTTGAAAAAAAAATAGTAGTTTGTTTTCGTCTTGTAGTTTCCGTATCATAATCCCTATTTAACAATATAAGTGAAAGAGGTTAGTTTTGATTTTTTATACTCTTCGAGAAATAACAAGTCTTTAAGGTCATAAAATAACATATGTGGTTTATTATAAACAATAGAAACTAAACCCCGAATATCATATAAAACTTACAATAAGGTTAATTTCCGTAACATTAAAAATTCATTATACTTGCAGGTTTCATTGTATCCACTGAGATCCACTGTATGACAACATATAGTGGAATGTCTATGGACAACATTACTCCAAAAATTTACAATCTCGCGCGGGAATTTTAAAAGCAAGAACCTTTATGTGTACTAGCCGCAGTTTAGAAAAGAACATTTAGAGGCCATATATGTACCAGCCACAGTAAATAGATTTATCGATTTATCAATTAAATCTTCGAACCTTCTGTTATTAGAGGGACTAACTTACCTGTGGGAACTTTTCTAACCAACAATACCACCTAGCTGTGGTCATTTACTATGATAGAGATTGTGTTTATGTTGCCACAATACAGCTTTGGTTTATGTTTGCATTTTGCAGCTTTAGCTTACGTTGCCAAGTTACAGCTCTATTTCCAACTTATTTTATCTAGAATAAAATGTTATTGAGAGAAATAACACATAGAAGTATGGTATTGGAGTACTTGTAATTTATAGCTAGACCTAACATAGCCTAAGTTTAATTACCTTAATTACTATTCTTCATTGTTATTCCTAAACCACTAAAATTAGTTGACACTATTTTTCAGATAATAGACAAATACTCTGGACTCATTATATAAAAAGTTTCGTCTCACCCTCCCCAGCTTAGACACTTTATTTGTAGGTAGTCTAACTTATAACATTTATTCTGGACGACGTTGAAGTAAAATTTTCCGACGGCTTGGGCTGTAGATGTATTCACACTCGTTAAACATTTTCTGAATTCTTCGTCACACTTACAATTCAACCTAAGAATGCAAATAAAAAACAAAAAACAAAACAATAACGCCAACTAGATAACAATATTTCAACTATAAGAACCCTTTTCTATAGCATTTCTGTGATCCTTGTTTTAGAACTCTACTCTGAATATTTAATTCTACTTATTTAATTCTTCCTCTGCTACAGTGTAATAAAACCTATAACCATTGTCTTAGTATTTTAGTTGTACTGTTTGTGAAAAAGACGAGATAACCAATAATCATTACTGGATAATATGTTATGCATTAGTAAACTGGCTGCACAACAATATCTCTGAAAACACATAACTTCCGAGATGCATGGAAATCTGACATTCTTTATTTTCTGCTGATCACTTCATGTTGAGAGAGTTGTCGTTATAGAGAGGTTGAGAACGTTATATTAAAACAATTTTGGAGATTCATCACGTCGTTACCGTCCATGTCGCTGCATCAGGTAATGCTTTATCTGACGATCATGCATTATGACAATAGTTCTGTAACGCAGATTGCATTTCAAAAGGATTCGTCGTAAGACTGTCATTTCGAAATCACACCACTCTTTCCCGTTTCCTTTCTATAGCCCATCTATTATACGAGGACGACAGTTTCCCAGTACTTATTTCAACAGTCCTATCACACAGAAGTCTATAGGAACTGCATCTTTCGACTTTACTGGCATATTCTCGTATGGAATAGCATGAATACCTGTTTCTTTCTCCAGCTGCTTGAGGTATGTGACAGTTGAACTAGAGGTATGATTGAGAGCCTTATCTTGGTGAATACGTATCCTGTTAGAATCGTTTATAAACAAAGATCTTTCTTGATTATGTTCCGTACCATTGCCTGGTACACGTGGACAGTTTTTACCACTGACCTTTGTATTCATAGATTCTCACCTGTTACAAGATGCTCATTATGAGTGGGGTATAACTTGTTACAGGTCTCTTTCTGGACGTTCCATATTCCTTTGTGTTTCAATGGAATTAAACATAAGGGATATTCGTCTGAAAATTATAAATTACCATTCCGAATACATATATCTGATGTGAGTGCATGCATATTTTGTGTCGAAAAGGAGTGTTATATACCATTCCCAAAAGCAATCAATGTTTGATAACATCACGCTACTTATGAACGCTAAAGAATGTAAATATTTCTGATATATTGTGTTCCACCGCGACTTTATATCGGCTGTGATTGTTATGTGATTTGTTGATTTGCATATTCAAAAATGTCTTGATATAACGTACTCAATTCTCTCTATTTCTTACTTGTAATTACTGTAGTGTAGATTTTATTATAATATTGAAGGCCTTTTTACCTTGTGTATTTGGCATTGTTTGTCAGTCCGTGCTTTGTTTCACCAGCAGTCATGAAGTCATCACAGGTGTCGTGGTCTCGGCAACACATGTCTGTTTTTGCTTTCTTACCTAAGTCGTCGTACCCTTTTGATACATTACCAGGTCCACACCACTTGGTACCTTTGGTAAAAAGTGGATGGTAAATGGTTAACTATTGTTTCATTACAAATGTGAATATTAAGTCTTCATTAAGGTTTTTTCTTTTTCGTTGCACAACATAAAATGTAATGAATTATGCATCCTTTCCTTTTACCATTAATTCTGACATCTATTACTCATTACTGCAATTATCTGCCATTATGTTTGCAATATTCTTCATATTACAATAGTTCTAAAGTCTGTGGTCCTTGTTTTAAAACTCCAGTCCCAACATTCGTAGTTCTTCTTGTGCTTAATCGAAAAATCTGGAATCCTCCTTTCACAACAGTAGTATTAAAATCTATAACCATTGCTTTAACAGATTCTGCTTTTTGTGATATTTTCCATCAGGTATCAGCATGATCAGTTTGAAATACTAACCTGGCCATGTTATAGATATGTAAAAAATATCATCTTCCCTCGAGACGTCTGCCTGTCTCACATCTCTGCAATGATGAAGAATCTCTTCCGTGTTTTCTGATATGATCCTGAAGACTGGCTGGTTAGGTAACTTGCTATACAAGATTTCCATCACGCGATCTCTAAGAAAAATGTAACATACGTTGAAGTTAACATATTTACACTTATTGATTTTTGTTTATACTTGGAGATCAATCAACTAGAAAAGGAAACACTACTTACGGTTTTTCTGTCTGATGACAACTTAGTACTTTCAGTTTAGTCTGGTTGTACTGCTGACCCGTCACTGACCAAGTTACGTCCAGTAACTTTACACTTGGCCATGGTCCGAGTTCTTTCAAATCTGGGTGGCCATATTTTATAAAATAAACTTTGTATGTTGGAATCTTTACTAATAAATCTTCACCTAGCGCCAGACCAAGAAGTAGAACCAATCTAATGAGAATAGCTGAGGTCATTGATGCTACAAAGACATATATATATATAAGTTAAAATGTACTGAACTGTATTTTACATAAAAGTATTGTTTTAATAATTTTTTAAAAGAAATACTTATATTTCTCTGGTAAAACAGAGATAACCAGAATGTTACGTAGAACACGCTTCTTCTAGAAAATAAAGGCTTAGTGATTAGACAATATAAAATTTGAAAAAGAAAACTGGGTGATAAACACTTCACTAGATGGTAATAATGAACAATAACAGTACCAGCTGGCGTTCAGAAAGAGAAAGTGAAGTATCCAGTGTTCCACCACAAGGCATTCAGAAGTGAAAAATAGTTGTACCTAACATTCTACTACATGGCATAAACATTAAAATGTATGGTACCTGCCACTTTGTCAGCCAACGTAGAAAATCAGAAAGTGTACTATTTAAAACTCAATCAGACAACATTCCGTAAGGGAAAGTTCAAAGACGAATGAATTTACCAGTTTGAAAGTTGGAGAGCGGGCTGTTCACTTACATCGTGTGAGTTAAGGTATTTAGTCTACAGAAATAACCTCTTGGTATATAGTCCATATTACATGGAAGAGTGGAACACTTTTATAGTACTAAATCAGATGTTATCGGAAGAGCTCATTTCATTCATAAACCTTGTTCTGCAAGCTGAACGTATATAGATAGACAACAACATTCATATTGGACTGTGTCGCTGAAACAAAAAATATGTTATTTTTAGTATTTATTAGCCAGATTTATTGTTTCATAATCCTGATAAACAAGAGATTAAAACCACAGTAAACAAAGCAAAACTATTTCCTTACATATATAACAATTAAATGAGACAAACACATACGTTCGTGTACCGTGGGACATCCTGTTGAAGATGTAGTTCCTGAACATATGCTAATACAGAAACTTTCTCGGATCATTGACCGTTCGTTGTACTGATTTGATCTAGAAAAGCAAAATTTACTTAATTTTAAATAACTTAATTTATAGTGTTGAAACAGATAATTTATTAGAAATTAAAGCCTGAAACTCTAAAAACCATAAACTATGTGATCCATAATTATAGTTGACATGGAAGATAAAGTTTCATGGGTTTCTTACCAGAAATGTATTGACCTGTGTGTTACAGAATGATGATTTTTTATCCTTTGACTTTTAAGGTACAGTCTGGTGAGTTTTTATCCTTTGACTTATTGACTTGTAAGATAGAGAATGGTGAGAACAGGATGTTCATAAGCTCTTATACACTTTTACACATATACCGCTAAATCCCGGGAGGTAACTAACACTCAAATATCTAACAAGTTTATTGTGTGTTACAATTTAGCCACATGCCATTGTCATCATTCCATAAAACTTTGGTCTGAGTTACAGAAACGATATTTATCCTCATCTGTTTAAAACAAGGTTTAACCAAAAATATTGAGGCCCTATACACGATATGAGTTTCTCTTCATCCGATACCATGGCAACACATGTAAGATAGAAATTTCTTAACTGGTACCAACAATGCTGAGAGGAAGGGTACATCTTCAGTTTTTAAGATGAGATGTACAGGCAAGATTAATCTTCTCTTGATAGTTATGTTATTAAAAGTTATCATACCTAAAGTTGTATGTTTTTAAAAATTGAAAGATATATAATCTTACAAATTTGTGTATATGATGATAAAATGCAGAAAGTAAACCTTTAAAGTTTGTTGATACACATACTTTATTTATTTTATCTCATTGGGTACTGTCAATCAGATGTTCACATACTCCATCAGTGCTGTCTACAGTTCAGAGATGAGTTCCTCGCCACCTGTGGTATTGACCCTTTCAGGTACATGACTATTACTTCTGTGTGCATGGTCATATACAAAAGCAATTTTATACCATAAAAGTCTATAGCACTTGTACCTAACATGGATATAATACAACGATCAACTATAGTGAGGTAAGTATAAAGTGTTTAGACTATATGCAATAGTCTGAAGGGGCTAATATCCAACATGTTCTTAATTGTTGTAAAGTTAAAATCTTAACTTATAGTGTTGATGGCTTTTGTAAGGAGCATAACACTATATATCATGGGTTTAGTTTATATTACGATCCTGACACGATGAATGTTGTTTTAAATAAACCCATGTGGTCTGTTAGAAAACTTATATTGAACAGGCAACATAAACTGAAGCTCAGGGATATAAGGTTGTTTTAATTTGGGAACATGAATTTTACTCGTAGGAAATCCATTGATACAAATTTAATTAGTTTGCTTAAAGACCACACAGTGGTTCCTCTCCTGGATATATGGGGCAGTTTTTATGGCAGTTGAGTCAATACTAATAAACTTTTGTATGATGTGAAAGAAGATGAAATGGTCAAGTATGCTGGTAAGGTATGTGGTAAGGGCGCTCGACTCGCAATCAGAGGGTCGCGGGTTCGAATCCCAGCCCCACCAAACATGCTCGCCCTTTCAGCCGTGGGGGCGTTATAATGTGACGGTATTCGTTGGTAAAAGAGTAGCCCAAGAGTTGGTGATGACTAGCTGCCTTCTCTCTAGTCTTACACTGCTAAATTAGGGACGGCTAGCGCAGATAGCCCTCGTGTAGCTTTGCGCGAAATTAAAAAACAAACAAACAAACTTCTCTATATCCACAGATGAATAAGTACTGTGAGTATCTAGTTGGCCATACCATAACCATTACAACATAATTTTCAGATATACTATTTAGGTTTATTTAAGTGTAAAATTCTAGCCCCGAGGAAACTCTGTCGTCGTGTTTTACCTCTGAGAAGTAATGGTAAATTAACTTTCCCTCTCTGTAAAACATGCGAATAAGAATACTGCTCCCATGTAATCATTCATATGATGAGAGAACATTTATTGGCACATGGGTTACTGAGGACGTGAAAAAAGCAGTCGAGTGTGGTTATGAAATAATACAAACTTATGAAATTTACCATTTCTCTGAAAGATCCACTCAACTGTTTAAAATTTATATAGACACATTTTCAAAAATAGAACAGGAAAGTTCAGTATGACCTTCTCACTGCATTACATCAGAGGCAAGACAGGAATTTATTGAACAGTATGCTGAAAATAAAGGTGTGTAACTAATCCCTGAATCCAGACAGAAATTCATTTGCAGAACTTTGTCTTAACTCTTTCTGGGGTCGTTGGATTATGTCTGAAGACAAAACACAACTGAACTACATAACATCTGTTAAACAGTAATACTCATTAATGAAAAATATCGCCAAAATTGTAACAAATGTTATGTTAGCCATTGATAAAATTATTGTTCTTCATTGGAGACATAAGCACGAGTATCTACCTCAGAAAGATCAAATAAATATTTTTCTGGCGGCTTTCACTACTGCTCACATGCACCTAAAATTGTACCATGCACTAAAAATGTTAGGTTCATCTGTTTTCTACTACGACACTGATAGTGTTGTTTACATCTCAGATGGAAATAATGATCCCCTTTAAGTGATTTTTAGGGAATTTACAGATGTGCTTGATGGATACTACATCACATCATGGGTTAGTGGTGGACCTTAGAATTATGGGTACTTACAGGAAGATGGTAAATCCTATTGTAAGATCAGAGGATGTACCCTTAATTTTATCAACAGTCATAACTTAAACCTCTCTTCAATGAAGAGCATTATATATATTTAATCATTCTCACCATGCCATTACAATCATGAAGGACAAGAAAATATGTCAGGATAGGAAAACGCTATCTATAATTAACAAACCTAATGCACAAAATACTCCCCTGTCTATACCAAAAGATATATTTTATAAGACTTTAATACCATACCATATGGCTATTAAATTAAATTATCTATTTATTTTACTTCATGAGAGGTTGGTCCTTTGTATAAAAAACAATTCATATATTATCACTGTAGTTTAAGATGGATTACTATTTACAACATTATTTCACTTGATTAGTGTTGGGTCTAACTGGAAGTGGTAAAATACAGTTTGTTACAATGTGTTATCCAATTATCGTGATATTATTTGCTCTATTCCAGAAAACATTGTATGGTTCTATAATGAATTTCAACAGCTGTGTGCTAACTTAATGCAAATCATTCCAACATCCATTTTCTTGAAGGTTTACCTGAACATTTCCGTGATTATTTACAACTCGAAAAGCCAGATATTTTTATAATTGGTTATCTTATGTGTGGAAGTGGAGAAAATAACCTTTTATATGTGGAAGTCACCATTTGAATATATCTGTGTTTTATATTGTATTGTGTTTTATATTGTATTTCATCAGGGTAGACAAATACATAACATTAGTTTAAACTCTCAATACATAATTTTGTTTAAGAATATGAGAAACTGGTCTCAGCTGAAAGTTTTAGTGAGACAAATGTTTCGAACATGTGTCAAATAATTTGAAGAAGCCTATCAAGATGCAACTCGACAAACGTTTGGATATCTGATCATCGATTTGAAACAACAAACTCCTGACCAATTATGTTTAAGAACTGGTTTGTTTCCAGGAGATGAGATTGTAGTGTACATGCCTAAGTGATATATGTCCATACATCTTGAAAGATGTTGAAGGATTTTATTTGAAGGATGGACCATATGTTATTAAATAACTAACATTCAAATGTTTATGCAGTTGATATATATAAGTGTGTTTTTGAAGCACTTTGTATCAGAGACAGATTGCAAGCAACGTAAGTGGGTAGACAAGAAATATTCACAAAATATTCTGAGAATATGGAACCATCTAGTATATATATTTGTGGAATGTGGTTAGTTTGCTAAGACAAAGTTTCACAGCTGTATTTACCAAGTGGACTTAGAAAATTGAACTGTTGAGAAGTTTCTTCCAAATTCCCTGTCCTAGAGTT